TTTTTTTTTTTTTTTTTTTTTTTTTTTTTTTTTTTTTTTTTTTTTTTTTTTCGAAAAAAACAAGTTAGTATTATATATGTCTTTATCAAAGACAAGGCTATTTCGATCAAATCGAAATCACCGAAGCTAGAATAATCCATTAAACGGTCCATTGGACCGCAAAGTCAAAGACGATCGTGCACTCTGTCAATCTACTATCCTTCTCTTCGTTCTTTATCTCTCCTCTTTTCCATCTCCCCTCCTTTCGTCTCTTTTACTCATGTGTCCTTTGCTCATGTGTTTTCATTTAAATGTTTTTTCATCATTATAAAAAAACAATTCTGTTTTTCAAATTTCCAAATATAATATATTTATTCGTTACAAGCTCTCATTCGAAACCTGCTGCAGGTGTATATATATATATATATATATATGTTAAAAACATGAAATTCAAGCCTTATTTCGTTTTTCGCTGACAACATATTCAAAGAAAAGTGAAAAACGAGAAAGGATTGAATCAAATATTTACCATGAAACTTACGATGTTTCCAATGATGACGTGCAAGAAGAAGAGCATGTAACGAATAAATATATTGGTTCACAATTATATAAATCGATCGTGAATATGATATCCTTTCATTTTAGACTGGCGTAGCCGAGGTGACTTGGGTCATTGCCGATCACTCTGCAGCACCAGGCTCGAAAGAGTTGACGGTAACGAAAGGTCAACAAGTTGAAGTATTAGAAAATGGAAGTAACATTAGCGGTGTGAATACATCCGAGTGGACTCACGTGCGTTTACTAGTTGCTCCAGGACAAGTTGATCCTCCTCCAGAAGGATTAGTTCCTACTAGTGCGCTTAAACAACCTCCTCCAGTTTCTAGTAAAACTTCACCATCTAGGAAAGTTCCAGGACAGCAACAACAACAACAGCAGCAGCAACAGCAACAACAACAATTACATTATCAACAACAATCGAGTAGTCAAGTTCAAACTGTCGCATCCAGTGGAGGATTTGCAACTGCATCTTCTGCTGCTGGAATAGCAGGCTCTTCGTCGACGATTACAACAAGTATAACACCTGTGTTACCAATTCAAAATGTTCCTGCGTTGCCGGATGAAACTGGTGAGATGATTATTTTATATGAAAATAAAATCAGGTGTATAATAGATCAAGTGTTAATAATTATATGTTAACATATACTTATTAACATATAGTTATATGTTTAATAATGTTTGATATAGAATAATAAGTAATAAATTGACAGTAATTCAAGAGTCAGTTATAGAGGAAATATAAGATTTTTAATCGTGGAAGATTAAGATGAGATGATTATTTTATATGAAAATAAAATGTAGATCATCATAGATCAAGTGTTAATAATTATATGTTAACATATACTTATTAACATATAGTTATATGTTTAATAATGTTTGATATAGAATAATAAGTAATAAATTGACAGTAATTCAAGAGTCAGTTATAGAGGAAATATAAGATTTTTAATCGTGGAAGATTAAGATGAGATGATTATTTTATATGAAAATAAAATGTAGATCATAGATCAAGTGTTAATAATTATATGTTAACATTATTAAACATATAGTTATATGTTTAATAATGTTTGATATAGAATAATAAGTAATAAATTGACAGTAATTCAAGATGAGTCAATTATAGAGAAAATATAAGATTTTTAATCGTGGAAGATTAAGATGAGATGATTATTTTATATGAAAATAAAATGTAGATCATAGATCAAGTGTTAATAATTATATGTTAACATTATTAAACATATAGTTATATGTTTAATAATGTTTGATATAGAATAATAAGTAATAAATTGACAGTAATTCAAGATGAGTCAATTATAGAGAAAATATAAGATTTTTAATTGTGGAAATAATTGAATTTCTCGAATTTGCTTTGGTAATTTGAGCACTCATTTTTGATAAAGAAAAAAAAACACGTGACAACGAATTGGAGGAATAACAATAGATTTAAAAATTTTCAATAGTAAATTCATAGTATGCAAATATGATAAGTATATTTTTATAAAAGAAAAACCAAAATTATATTAATTAAATTTCTTTCTAAATTATTTATATTTAAATGCCAATAAAAGAATCTTGGATTCCAAATTGAATATATTTAATTACTTACAATTGATGGATTCTAAGATTCTAATCCTTTTCTTGAATGATTAGATAGTTTTGATCATTTATAGAATCGTTACTTAACACTTATTGAAGCATTATTGAATATCATTAAAGCAAAGATCATTTTATTGTTTACAAATTATAATTATACTAGTTAATGCCAAATTACATTAATTCAAATATGATAGGAATGATTATTGATTAAAATATAAAGTCACACAATTAGAAGACAATGGAGCATAAAATCGTAATGTAATGATAAATTCGAGTTTAAAGATTTAATTGATTGAAATTTCGGATAATAAATCAGTCGAAAGATAGTGAGGACATTGATACGTTACGATTAAAATGGTTACCTCTTTGACAGGAGTCTATTGTACGCGTACTCCGAGTCGGTCGTGTCGGATCAATACGATGTACCGGGATAACTGTGTCCTTGACCGGTTGAATCTTCAACTGATATGTCGATAAAACAAAGTTGATACATTAAGTATACTTTACATCGATGGTCGCTAACCTCTTCTGATGTCAATTTTATTACTTATTGATTATTAAACGTCTTAGTTGAAGATTTAATTTAAAGAAAAATTATACATCATATGTTTTGTTTAATGTTATATTCATTATTTGCAATTACATACAATTAATGTTAGTTGATCGATCTTTGCAAACGAAACTATTACTATTGCTAAAATATATGAAATAATGAAATGAATATATTTAATCGTATATCATCAAATGATTTCGATTTTTTTATCAATTGATTTTAATAATTAAATTCTTATTTTTTTAATTTCTTATCGATCCTTTTATATTTAATTTGCATATATATGCATTTTTAATATATCAAAAACAATCAAATTGCACATTTTATTTTACATAATGTTCACTTCAGCAATTCGCATTTGAGATTTATATTATTTATATTTTTATAGAAAATGTTGCAAACGATGGAAGTAGTCCTGCGAACACAAATTCTCCAGGAAACAAAAGGCGTGGCTTTAGCGGGTAAGTAGGGAAATAAAAATAGGATAAATCTATAAATGAATCTAAAAACAAAATGTCGAATG